GGTACGTCAAGACATGCGAAATATGTCAGCGGGTCAGACCCGCAGGGCACTCTTCGGCTCCACTACAGAGCCTGCCCGTACCGGCTGATTTTTGGAAGTCGATGAGTCTTGACTTCATCTTTGGGCTTCCCGCCGACGGACACGGCAACACCGGAATTTTGGTGTTCGTGTGTCGGCTGAGCAAGATGATACATCTTGCCCCAGTTCCCGTCACTGTAACGGGCGAACAAACCGCAAGGTTGTTCGTCGATGGCGTGTTCCGCTATCACGGTCTCCCGGAGACGATTGTCTCGGACCGAGACCCGCGGTTCACTGCTGCGTTTTGGAAAACGCTGTTCCCTTTGCTGGGAACTCGTCTGCAGATGTCCACTGCGGATCATCCGCAGACAGACGGCCAAACATAGCGCGTCAATCGAGTGCTCGAGGACACTCTGCGCAGTGTGTGCGCGGCAGCGCCACGTACGTGGTCGTCGCAGCTTCCAGTTGTTGAGTTTGCGCTCAACAACGCGGTGCACGCGTCCACGGGGTTCACGCCGTTCTACTTGAACGGCTTCCGCCACCCCAGAGTGCCTCTCACTCTTCGAGGAGACACTGACTCCTCTATTCTAAGTGGGGGAGAGGCTCGGAAAGCCCTTTCCTCCCAGGTCTCGGATGTGAGACCAGTTTCGCTGCGGAAATAGGTGGAATCCTTTATGGATACCAAGCTGAACATTGTCAGCAGGGTCCGCGATGCCATGGCAGCGGCCCAAGATAAACAAAAGGAGTACTCAGACAAACAAGGAAGAGGAAACTTAAGTATATTTGAGGTTGGTGACTTAGTGTTGCTAGACACGAGGAACCTACCTCTAGACACTGTTAGCTCTGTCGGCAGCAACAAACTGAAGCACCGCTTCATCGGAACTTTTGCAGTCCTGGCCAGACATGGTGCGTCGTACACCATCGACCTTCCAAAGTCAATGACGACGCACCCGACGTTCTATGTCGGACGTCTTAAGCGGTACATTGACCCGCAGGGGGTTGCTGACTCGCAGATCCCCCTTGACCCAGCTCCTCGAAGCGAGGGCCGGTCACAGTCGTCGACGAGGGCGTCGGAGCAGGCACCCAAGTCTCGGTCGGGACGGCAAGGCTGCGGTCAAGACCGTACGCCGGAGGGGCTCCATACGAACGGACCCCGGCGCCATACGCTGAGTACGCCGGGTACGCACCATACGCGTACGTCTGGGAGTGTGCCGCAAGCGGCTCCGGACGTGGCAACAAAGCCTCGATCCGTCGGATCATGCGAAAGGCCTCGTCCAGATCGGACGAAGAGGCCCGGCGATCCACCCGCAGGTGCAGGCTCGCGACCTCTCGCTCCACCAGGTCCAGGCGGCCCGCAAGACGAGCGAGCTCGCCCTGATTCCCGGCCTGGGCGGCAGCATTACCGCCAGTCCCAAGGCCAAGTGCAATCTCAAGCACGAAACACGCTGACGGAGGCGGTCAACCTCAGGGTCCTGTGTCGGACCCGCAGTCGGAGCACTCGGACGAGAGTGGCTCTCGGGAGGCGCCGAGTACTCGTACTTGTACGAGGGCACCTCCGCCCCTGCTTGACCGGAATGGAGAAGCCCACTTCCACGTGGAGCGGATCCTCCAGGAGCAACGGTGTCGCGGCAAGCGACAGCTCCTCGTGAAGCGGAGGGGTTATGCCCACTCCGAGAACTCGTGGGAGCCGATTAAACGGCTCCTGATTGACTGCCCGAAGGCTGTCGCAATCTGGGAACAGAAGCGGCGGCAGCTTCATAAGTAGTCCGGGGCTTCTTGCCCGAACGGGGTACGGTCAACGAATACATACCGTACCCGCGCTCATCGTGAGCGCTAGAAGCCGCGCGCTTCAGGATGTCCCTTGGCAGCATACGCTTGCTGATCAAGTGGGCAAACCTCACACGAAGATCACGCTGGTCCAGGATGTGGGACAGCTGCTGATCTTCATGGAGTTCCCATAACTCCGTGGGCGAGTACTTGAGAGTCTCCACCCACGCCCAGACCATGTCCTCACAAGAACCCCACGTGGGACAGTTCTCGGGCATAACCCAGGGGTATCCCCAAACAGGATAGAGACCGCCCCGGGTCTCGGGCTTCTTACGACAAGTCGTGAAGTCCTTAAGGGGAATGCGGTGTTGCGCGAGAAGCACACACCGAGCAGCCTCCAAGTTGTCGACGAACAACTGTTCTTTCTGAACAAGGGCTCGTTCATAGATGCCCCTAGAAGTGTGGCCGCCCACAAGGCCACGAGGAGCGACAAGAAGCTCTAAGAAGAGGTCAGCCCCAGAGCTCTCCTCGGGAGGCCAATACCCTCTTGAGTTGATGGCAGCTCCCTGGCTGACGGGTGCTGCCACCGAACCCCCACGCACACGCTGAGCAGCTTGGAAATCCTCCTGCTGCTGGTCGAGGTCATTTGAGACCTCCCGGGGCTCAACAATGGCACCCTCCTCTTCCTCTTCTTCCTCCTTCTCCTCCTCTTCATCCGAGGAGCCGAAGAGACTCTGATAGGAGCGTCGAGTCTCCTTCTCCTCGCGGAGTGGAGACTTAGAGGCGGTACGCTTCTTTGAGGGCTTGGCGCCTTCGGCTTTAGAGGCCTTAGCGCGCGCAAGATCCTCGGCAAGCGAGAGACGTTTGCGAGGATTCTCTTCCTCATCGCCACCGGCTTTGGGAGCGCCCTTAGCCTTAACGGCCGGACTCTCAGAGCGCACAGAGGTCCTGGAACTGTGATCACCGTGATCACTAGCGGGCGACTGCACGCTGCCTTCTTTGTGCTCACTGGGCACTAGGCTGTGCCCTCCCACAGAACCCGCAGGAGCCTCCTGAGTGCTCTCGGACTCGGCATCGTCTTCACTGCCCGAGTTGAACTCGCGGTCTACGAACCGAGGGTTCGGACGGTTGTCTGAAGACGAGGGCGACGGACTGCGGCGCCTGCTTGCGCGCTTGTCCGCAGCCGCGTCACCCGAGGAACCGATCGCCTCGGAGGCCACCTGAGTAGCCTCCTTGAGTGCAGAGCCTTTGCCGTGAGGCTTAGTGCTCTTGACCTGCGCCTTACCGGCTGCAGCCTTGGAGCGTGTCTTAGCACCGCTCTTAGTAGTGCCGCGAGGCATGTTAACGGTCGAAGTGGAGACCTTGACGAAGAGCGCACAGGTTGCTGCTCGAGGCTCTAACTGTGAAGTGAGCCTCCGCCGCGCTCGCGCGGCCAAGTCGATGGTTTTCGACTTTGAGAATGAGAGTTTGTGACGAACACCTCATCATTCTGATTGGTCGGTAAACCGAACCTAAGTGGGGGAGGATGTAACGGGGTACGTAGCCCTAAGTGTACCCTGGTTACATGAAGTGTGACACTTCACACTTCAGGAGTATGACACGTCATACTCTGAGATATTTGGTACAAGGTACCAAGGTCGTTCAAAGCCAACCATTGGTTAAATGACATTGCATTTCTATAGGTAACTAGCAGTTTGTATTAAACCCAAACTTAATCTACCTATAAATATACTCAGTTTACAATCTACCTTATTTGGGTCACTTCGCTCTCTTTAATCGAAGAGGGGACCTGTGAACTGCCGTTTACTGAGAGTTTGTATACTCTCGGAAGATAACTTCCTCTTGCGCAAGGTGCTGTGTGACCCCGTCACAGGCGCCCGGAAGTGCGTTGAAACCCCCGGCTCCATACACAAACCAAGTCAAATTACGGCTGATAAGAAATCGGCGGAAAGAACACGGCCTAGTGGAGAGCACACAGGTGTGAGGAAGCTGATGAAGACGAGCAAGGACCAAGAGCAGGAGGTGAGGGTCCAACAAACGGAGCTCAAGCAGGATGCGGAAGGACACGACCGCAACTGGCAGGGAGGCCCGCCCAAGGTAGACGACGGAGGATGGCAGACAGCAAGCAGAAAAAACAAGGCAGGGAAGACTACAGAGCGATACGGAGACCGGAGAACCTCACAGGAAGACCCGCAGCGCAAGGCGGGAGGACGCAGCTTTTCTCCGATTCGACGGCAAGGGAAAGAAGGCACTCAGGCTAAGTTCAGTGGGCGCAAAGCTGGAGAAGCAGATCAAGGCGATGGCACCAGAGTTTACGCTCAGCTCATAATGTATCTTCTAAACACAGCCCCAAGCACCTACGTGCTACAAACGGTGCTGAGACTACGAGAACTGGCAACGGAGAGGAGGTTCCGGGCATATCTCAGGAAGATGCAGTAACATTATGCTAATGAGGAGGAGAAGGCGCTCATGAGGGAGACATGGGACGACACGCCATCCCAGGAAGAGCAAGAGAAATATAGAGGTGTGACTTGCAAGTGGGACTGTGCCAATGAGGAATACCGACAACGTCTATCAACGCTCTTGGAAACCTGGGTACTCAAAGACAGGATGATGCAGGCTGAGTTGGAAACGCGGCTACGGTGCTTCACACTACAGAACATTCCACTTGAGCCAGTCGGATCGGTTGAACAAGATGAAATCCTTCAATCATACAAAGAAACTGTCACTAATAACGAAGTGGGTACACCCACCTCAAATTCAACGAACGACGGGAATACCAGCGCTTGTATCAACTCTGCATGCAGCCCTCAGAAAAGATCACCAGACTTCTAATGAGAACTGCAGAAGAGGACAAAGCCTTAGACATGATCATCAAGGGACAGCTGGAAGTGCCAGTACCTCCACGCTTTCTCATACAGTCGATGGATGCAAGAGAATTGGCGGCTTTCACAGACATATTTATGGCCATCGAATACCCGCTCTACGCGCATTTGCTTCCAGGCCATCGCTTCGGACCAAACATGACCAAGCAAGCCATCTTGCAGCACGCGAATATAGGAGCAGAGGCAGCTCCTCCACAAAAGCAGTAGATTGCGGAATTCAAAGCAGCAATCTCCAGAATTGAAGTCGATACAGACGCGAGAGTGTTAAAAGTCACTTTCAAAGGGAAGCGTTCAGCACAGAAATGGGTGGGATGGCGTGTCCCACTGGCGATGAAGATGATTAAGCTTGTTGACTATGAACATCAACGGCAACAAGCGCAGATCACGCATGCGGTGGTGCAGCTAGACCTCTACAGCTTCAAAATGATTGTTACAACCGGAAAGATGACATCCACGGACATGTACTGGCTGCTATCCAACAAATTGGGACTCAAGGTTCAGGCACTAGCACATTCGGAAACAGCAGGAGCGAGTATCAATGATAAACAGTGGGACGTGGATATTTATGCAGCAGCTTGCCCTCAGCAATTAAGACGTGTCGCGAAGGTGGTGCTAGCCAACACCACTATAGTCGTTTACCACCACACGGTGTACCAAGGATGGCCTTGTGCACTATGCGCGGCACCAGATCACCCGGCACGCTACTGCAAGATAGCAATGGAGCAGATCGACGAAACGAAAGCAAACCACACCCTAGTACTGGACGGCAAAGTCCCATCGACGACCGGAAAGGAAGGAAGAGAATACCAGCCAGAGACAATGCCTAAGACAGTGGAGGAGCTGATAATGCAGATTCAAAAGACTGCAGGGCGGAGGACGGCCAGTACAACGAGGAACAGCACAGAAAGAGAAGGTGACCGCCCGTCGTTACCGAGCGAGTGGGAACAATGTCATCACGAAATCAACGTCGAGCAAGACGACGAGCTGGAGGACAAGCAGGCGTCTCCGGCTTCAATGGTCCGTGAGACAGCAGTTGACGACGACATTGACATGCAACCCGCAGACCATGGGGCTGCATTCCACCGAGGAGACACCACAGATCAGGCAGTGCGCGAAGGGCTGGGCTCGTCCACAAACGAGAAAAGGACGACGACTCCGCGAACAAAACAGACTCCCCTACGGGTTAGTACCAGCGAAGGTTGGGAATGTCAGTCACAGAAGGAACACATCGACCAGCTTCGCTCAGCGGCTTAAACACCATCATCACACGAAGGCTGGCTGATACATGGGACTGTGAGGACAAATGGGGCCATGGCAGTGGAGGTGGGGCTGAACAAGAAGCGTACGATCGGCAAAAGGTGGACAAGAAGATTAAGCTCGAGCCAGTCCAACGTTCACAAGTCAAGCTGGTGCTTAGACCACAGCAGGAGCAGGAAATTAATGGACGGACGGCCGCTGAGAGACTCCCAAACACCGAGCAGAAGGCTCAAGCTCAGGGTGCAGCCAAAACGACGACATCCCGAACTACGTCACCCAAACGAAAACTGCCAACAGCGAAGGAGGCAGAGGATCGCCCCTCCAAGGAGAGAAGGCAGGAGACCCGAATCCCGCAGGGTAATACCAGGCAGGAGGCTCGATCAGAATCCCCAAACAAACGCAGCTCTGTTCGAAGAGGTAGTGGCGACTCGAGCTGCCGACAACAGTACATCCACCTCTTCCTGGAGAAAACGCTGAACAAGACTGAATTGGAATGGAAGAATATGACCGCAGAAGACGGAGGAATAGCAGTGACAGCAGCGCCACCTCAACTACCAGGTAGCACAGGTATCACTCTGAAGAAGGACCAATCAGATGCCGAGCTGACAGATCGCAGCTACAAAGGAGAAGAGTGCAGAATTACAAAAATATTGCCAGCGACGAATGAAGGCAAACACTTCAATGCGTGGATGGCTCTGGTAGGGGGTACAATTGTAGATGTTGCGGCAACAGGGCACTGCGGATGGATTGCAGGCTATGCCTCACTGAAGAATATAGCCGAAGGGTTACTTCATCCAGGCTCCAAACTGGCGGATGACATCAACCTGTTTAAGAAGGACGTACGGAATGGAATGCTGACCAATCTCCAGGACGAATTCGCTGCCTACCCCAGCGATCTGGACACGGGATTAGAAGAAAGTGGCATCAGGACTCCAAAGGATTCCCCCTTTGAAGTAGGAAGTCGATACTGGACCGGCTGGGAGTCATATCCACAAGAAGATCTCGGTGGCGAAATTCCTTAACCCTTGCGTTTAGCTGCTGGGTGGCTTCAGGGGATTCCTTGAAAATTCTTAAGGTCACCGACTGGTGACCGCAACAATCTGCCAGCAGCTGGAACAGTGTCCCGATCTTATGTTTGGTTCGGAGAGTGTAGTCACGCTTGATCAGACGGTTGAACTGCTCCACCGGGTTGTTTGTGGTGGCGTATCCACTGGGGGTATGGAAGCATTGCCAACGCCAAAATGAACTTGTCACCCACGTACGTTCAAAATAGCCTTGGAACCAAATCAGCTGCTCTTCATCCGCCCACTTTGCTAGAACCTCTTTCACTTGTTCGTCATAGGCATCTTGGCTATCCGCGAAATGGAGGTCATAGATGTCCGCCATCACTTTTTTGGACAGGTGATCCGGTACGCCCTTGAGTTTTTCGTGAACCTTGGCCATCACATGATAGAAGCACATCAAGTAGACAAATTCACAATCGATACCAAAGACTCGTGTCACAGCGTTCTGTTAGGCAGCTTCCACATCGGCCATGACGAACCTGACCAACAGTTGTCGCCCCCCAGACACGGAAGTAAAAACCCTGCGGTGCTCGGTCAGCGCTGTCACGTAAATGTCCTCATAGCGTTGAGATGTGATGAAAAGTGCCACGAGGTGAAACGAGCGACACTTGTCAGAGATGCCACACACAATGACAGGATACCCGACTTGGTTCAACTTAAACGTGGCGTCCATGTGAAACACAAATGACTCTGGGTCGCGGGCCGCATTCAGTAGAAGACGCTTCGTTGTCAGCCCCACCAAAAAGAGCTTTTCGTCAGAGCCGTTCCCCACATCTGGTTTGCCGTGTGCTTTACGTTTCCATCCAAACGAGAAAGGATTCGTGTCTGAGACGGTCGGGCCATAAGCCAACTGGTCGATCTGGCCCAGGATTTCGTCATAATCGTCATTGGTGCAGATGTTTCTTAGAGTAACTGCTGACGAACCACTGCACTTGACGTAGCGTTGGCATCTCTGTCTCAGTCAGCCCAAATCGCCGAGCCATCCCATTGCGAATCCGAGCGGGCTTCAACCCTTGCGTAGCCATTTCACGACCGTAGTCCTTAAGTCGGGGGGTTATCTTGGTTTTTTATGGACCTTTCACCAGCGTCTCGTGAGCACCAGTCTCCATTATGGTGACGCCGTTAAGGCTTTGGCACGTGAGCACCTTCCCCTTCCACCGACACGCGTCATATGGCGTGGCTGCGCTGCATGTTTCCGAGGAACACCTAAGTAGCTGGTACCGCATCTTGTGTGGCTTGGTCAGTGCACACACCACACACGGAACCAGCTGAATCTTCACAATAATGAACGCCTTCATGTCTTCCATAAGCAGCTGAGAATCCTCGCGAGCCATGTCGCTGCAGACAGTCGTCCATTTGGTCGTCGTGGGCATCTTCCGTTGAGGGAGGGGAAGGAGGGCTTCAAGGTTCAGTTTTTACTGTATGAAGAAGGATCTTTGCTGTAAAGAAAGGATATATAGGGCGGTGATTGGCTCATAGCAGGTCGTGATTCGCTAATATTTATAGACACCCGAGGTTGGTGTGTTTTGGCCTATGCTGTGGCACACGTTTAGATAGTGTGGTGTGATGTGACGTTAATGTGTCCCACGCATATTGTATGAGCCATCCCATTTTCTGTGTGTCAGACCTTGTTTCTGTGTGATTTACCGGTTCTGTCGGTAGACGTGACGATGTCACTCTTGTGCATCATCACAACGTCCTTACTGAACCCAAGACATTTGCGTACGGCTGTTTTTGGGCAAGAAGGTGTCAGCTCTGCCGACGCCCCGAGAAGCCGAGGCAAATCCTTTCTCCCAGTTTTTGTGTCAGACACTACGCCAGATTCAAAAGCTCAACATGGTAAGGCGCCGTTGATGGCTACACATCACACACTAAGGGGTCTCACTAACCGTTCTCTCCATCGACACAGCACCCACGCGACGACGAACGCGGCAAAATGGAGGCGCTACTGCACCAGATCGTGCTGGAAGAGCAGCAGAAAATGGTCCAATTGGGCTTCGTGGAGACGTGCATTCCGTCGCCTGACAGCGCCGCACGTTGCAGCGTCTTTATGAGTGCGAACTGGCACATCTGCCGTCGCTTACTGCTCGTTATCGTGAGTGGCAATGGCATCCAACCGGGTATTTGGAGCCGTTCGCTCGTCCTGGAAGCCACGGAGAACCCGAACCAGTATCGCTCGGGCTCTATGCTTCCGTATCTGCACACTGCGCTGTCTAAAGGCTACGGCGTCGTGGTCATGAACCCTAGTACCAATACCGTGAGTGTCGGTAGCGAAAAGATCCCTATTCCGTACTCCAGCACACCCGAACTACACGTCCGCTACGTATGGGAGGCGTACGGCGTTCGAGCGTCATGTTCACAAGTCTACATCGCTGCGTATGGACGTGGAGGCTCCTTAACCAAGCACTTGGTCTGCACACAGCCGCTTCTACGCTCCAAACTGGCAGCTATCGCCTTCATCGAGTCGAGTCATCGAGTGGAAGCCGATGATACGCAGGAAGTAAGAGGCTTACTCGGTACTCGAGCCATCAACTGGCAGCGATCCAAGGAGAGTCCAGGGACGCAGCTACAGGACTGCACTCAGCTGGGTTGTCTCAGTCTCTCGGCTGGCGAACCCACGTCTCCAGCCGAACAAAAGTCCTCCAACACCGCGTGGACTATCGCAGCCAGTATGGACACCGTGTTCGCCTTCTTCGACAGTGCACGCGGCTCCATGCCCGACAAAGTGGCAGAGGACGAGCTGATGGACGAAATGAGCCGACTGTCCCAGTACGCGTACGCTGGAGCCGCTGCCATGTCGTCGGCGCCACACCAACAAGAACACTTAGAGGACGCCGAGTTCCACGTCGAGGAAGACGTGGGCAACCACCTCGGAAGACGAAGCAATAGTGCACGCAGTTCTCGACGCAGTATGGTCATCTCCACGTCCATGAGCGTCAACGACTTCGACTTGCTGTCTGTAGTCGGTAAAGGAGCGTACGGGAAAGTGTTTCTGGCTAAGAAGAAGCACGGGAAGAATGCTGGACGCGTGTATGCGATGAAAGTATTACGCAAGCAAGACGTGTTCAAGAAGAAACAAGTGGAGCACACCAAGTCGGAGCAGCGGATCCTCAAGCACGTGGAACATCCGTTCGTGGTGCGTCTACGGTACGCGTTCCAGAACCACCAGAAATTGTATCTGGTCATGGATTATTACTCGGGAGGATCGCTCTTTGTGCACTTGAGGAAGGAGAAGCGCTTCACGGAGCAACGCGCGTGTTTCTACGCGGCCGAGTTGGTGTTGTCACTGGCTCATTTGCACAATATGCACATCATGTATCGAGACTTGAAGCTGGAGAATATCCTCATGGATAGCGACGGACACGTTGCTATCACAGACTTCGGATTATCCAAAGAGGACGACGAAGGCTCGACGTTTGTGGGGACGCCCGAGTACTTGGCACCGGAACTTCTGTGCAGTCAGAGGACAGCGACGTCATACGGCAACACGATCGACTGGTGGAGCTACGGAGTGTTGGTGTACGAGATGATCCAAGGCCACACGCCCTTCTGGGACAAGAATCGACGTCAAATGTTCCAGAATATATTGAGTAAGGAACCGATATACCCCTCGGAGCACTTTTCGCCTACTGCGACCGATTTCCTGCGACGGTTGCTGGTTAAGAACCCTCGACAACGCTTGGGATGTGGCGCTGACGGCGCGAGGGAGATTATGGGGCACCCGTGGTTCGAGGGAGTGGACTGGGACGCGCTACTTAATCGACGAGTGGAGCCTCCGTTCAGACCCGTAGCGAAAGATATCCACGGCAGTCGAGCGCGTACGAGCAGTGCAGCACTGAACGCGAACTTGCAGTATGTTCCCAACATCTTCAAGCAACAGGAAGTGGCGGATTCTCCGGTTATCAGTGTGCTGGGCTCGTCCACGGGCTCGGGGATCATGGCCATGCACTTCGATGACTTTAGCTACATGGGCAGCGACATTATTGGCTCGAGACGCACCTCGGTCTTCCGAGACAGCGACATTAAAATGGAGTTGGGCGAGTAGGAACCCGTACCGGGTATACTATACACTATACTCACAAGGGAGCAACAACCATCCGGCAGTTGCATTGCTCCTACTACGAGCCTTGGGATCCGTCAACAGCTATCAAAGGCTCGAGGTACGCCCCCCTTCCCCCTTCCAGAGCGGATATCATCATGTCACATTGAGCATATCGTATCTTTCTACGCAAAATGGAGCTGTGTGCTCCTTGTGCAGTTGCATTAATAGTTAAGTCTGAAGAGGAGACTTTTGCAATGTCTTTTGAGTTTCCTACGCTTCAAGGCAATCCGTTTTACATTAAGAAAAATGACAAAATGTGTGGAGATTCACAATGATATTTTTTTCTAGCTTAGAAGCAGCAAAGCGATTGCGCTTACTGCACGACATCGAGTCCCATGGACTTGGCCGAGCCGATGAGCGTCTTGCAGATGGACTGGAGGTCGATGTAGTCCACCATCTCGTCCTGCTGCTTGACCTTGGCGATCTCGTAGATCTGGCGAAGGTGAACTGTACCCACGACCTGCTGACCGGGTGTGGAGGAGCCCGACTTGATGCCGGCAGCCTTCTTGAGGAACCACGAGGTCGGTGGCGTCTTGGTGACAAAGTTGAACGTGCGGTCAGAGTAGGCCGTGAGCACCACAGGCACAGGGATGTTCTCCGTCATCTTGGACGTGCGGTCGTTGAAGGCCTTACAGAACTCCATCATATTGACACCCAGAGGACCCAGAGCCTGACCAATAGCCGGCGACGGACTCGCCTTGCCCGCTAGCACACGAAGACGGACCACACCTTTGACTGCGACAGACATGTTGGTACTTTGTAAAGCTCGGCGAGAACAGACCAGATGGAGACGAAACCTGCGTGGGTAGAAAGTAAATACATAGCGTTTAGAGATGCACAAGGTGATGAGAGCAATCGAGACTTTTGAGCGGCAAAGGTGCCATGGCTGACGCACCTTGTTCGGTAGAGACTTTGAGTGGCCGCCGGATTGTTGCAATAGAGACACATGATTGGCTAATAATTCTAAGCAGTGCATCCCTTTCGGATTCTACCCTTTTAAAAAAAAACATTTTGGTTTCTACCTTTTTATTATGAAAAGGTATAAACCGAAGGAGCAAATATTAGAGTTTTTTCAGCAAGGGCCTAAAACGATAAAGCGAACTATCGGTTTATCACAAATCGATAAGCTTCGAGAACCTGGTTAAATGGTTCGCTCGAGACGCATCGCGAGCATGTACGAAGCGTCCGAGCATGCTCGTTCGAAGCCCATTTGCGACCTCCAACGAAGCCAATGCGCATCATTATCAAGAGCCAAGCCCCAGAGCGAACCTGATACGCCTGAACGCGCCAAACCGGTTCACAGGTTGTCTACTATAGTTCCTTTGAATTTAACATTATTCCAGTCTTGGATAAGAATATCTTTGCTTAGAGAACCTTGAATTTAACGTTTCATAATTCGTGTTGCTGAAATCCGTTGCTGTGCTTGAAAATAAGTCATGTGAAACGAATGGCGGGACCCCGGTTCTCCATCACAAACCGGTTTAGAGATACACAAAATATTTATTTATTATGGATTACCTTAAAGTCGGAGGTGGGCTAAAGAGCTGAAAAATCGAAGACCTCCGATCCACGACGGTATCACTAGTAGTGATTCACTACAAAGAGGATTGTCTGTAAAGGGAAATCATCAATTTAGGGCCGCGAAGCCGCATAAATTACTGCCAATCATATACAGTACTCCATTGAACTTGGAAACTATTGGTTATAATAAGCTAAGTACGAATACCTTTAAAATTTTAATATGCAAAAGGGGTGAGCTCTTGGCGCCATATTTTTAGTCAGCTCCTCCAACCAAATGAGGTTGTTGAGCGCCATCCACTCCGTTCAAACATTTGCAAGAAGAAAACAAACGCTTCACTTTTTATTTGTCCGACCCAAGCCATGTCTAAGACTCGCCACACTTACTCTACTGACACCAAGACTGCCATTGTGGCAAAAATACTCAGCGGTGCGGCGGTTCCCGAGGTCGCGGCGCAAACTTACGCAGGAAATTCTCCAGGAGCTTTCTACAGAAAGCAGCAGAACACGTACTAAGTCTCGCAGGAAATCTGCAGTCGCCACCGAAGGCAAAGGCGATGGGGTCCCTCAAGAGACGAGCGCAGCCCAACATATTGTCAATTCCGCTGTAGTGTAGCTAATCAACAATAATGTTAGTTGGATCTTTACACAATGTTTTAGAATTGATAACTTACCACTTTCAGCCAATCCTCAAGAAACAAAATCCAAAAAAGGTGATGAGCAATACGTCTCAAATCCCTCCAGAGCCCCGCCACGGACCGTGGCACGGCGGCCACGGCGGCCACTCTCGTGCTCCATTTATGGTGCGTAGGTCTTCCTAGAAAGTGTCATCTACTGTAATCGACCAACACCTTCGCTTAGCTGTACATGGCGGTGGACCTTGAGCTGCTAGCTGCACAAGACGCAAATTTCCTACTGGACGACGCGACGCCCACCGAATCCGGAGCCCAGGGAGAGCCGGACGATGTGATGGCAGACGTCTGGGGCAATTTGGGGGCGCAAAGTGGAGTTCGAAAACAAAAGGCAACGAACTTGTGGTCAAAACTGAACCCACTGTTGCCGCGAATGAGATAGAAGGGAAAGGGAAATGTGCCAAAGTGCAACGGAAACGGAAACCAGCGAAAGCCAAAGTTGCCGTGGCAAGTGCAACCATGGCGGTGAAAGAAGACAAGAAGCTGACGCCCTTGGAGATCCGTCGGAAACGTAATAGAGAGTCCATGCAACGCGCTAGACGCCGACAACGCGATGACGTCGAGCGGATGAAATTGACCCTTCAACAACTGGAGAAACATTACCAGGCTCTGAATGAAAAATCTCAGGCAAAGCGCCGTCGCGCAAGCAGCAATAACAGTAATGGAGACTCGGACTCGATGTCGCTAGAGGCAAACTACTGCGCCTTGGCGGATCTATCCCATACTCTGATGGAGGAGAAGTTTATGCTCGAGCAAATGCTCGTGGATAAGCAAAAGACACAAAGAAGGTTCCAACAAGTGATGGTAGATCGAAAACAGGAACTGGAGTTGGAGTGTCCGCTTACGACTGACGACTCGACGCTTTATTCGGATTATGAATATGTGCCCATGACAGAAGACCAAGCCAATGAGTATATACGCAACTGCTATCAGCAAATCGAGCCATGGAAGAGACGGTAAAGCCGCTCGTGTCGCCCTTTGAGGTGTCCGACGGAGACAGCTCCGATATTGAGGAATCAAACTCTCCTTCAACTCCAGAGTTGCCGCAACGTTTCAATGCGAAAAAGGGTTGCGCATTCCCACCGTCGGCAACTTTCGGCTGGGAGGTACGTCACGAAACGAACCCTGACGACGACTCTACGTCAGTTTCTCCAAATTTTTCGTGGGGATTACACCACAACAAGCCATGGTTAGTAGCTGGATAAGGGACTCTAAGCCAACTTCTACCCCTTTCCGACGCAAATTACGGTTTGAGGTACTCCAGGTTATCAATGACAGCACGTACATCGCTGGTACTGACATTGAACACCCTGTGCAACACGACAAGGTCATGCGCATGATCTTCCTAAACTTCCGCATGCAAACCGACAAGGGTTATGTAATCGGCCGCCACTCAATCAACCCTTCGTCGCCCGAAGTGCGCGAAATGGCCGAGAGAGACTCGAACTTCGAATACGTCGATAGCTCCAACTGGGTAGAGTTTTCAGCAGGACAGGACGAACGCACGGGCGAGTCTGGCTGCCGTCAAATTCATTGCACGCACCGAGTACAACACACAAGAAGACATGTACGTCCGCCTTGTGAACTCGATATCTCGCACGATGATCTGGGAGCTCGCTGTCGTTCCTTCGTCCTCGCGCTCCCTCCTCCTGCCCTCCTGACACTGACAAGTAGGAGACGCCAGTGCATGGGTACATGTACCGGTACTGTAAGTCTCTGATTGTCCCAGATCAAGTTAAGAAAATTTGTTAATTTATCAGTCGATTTCCAGCTGTGACGTTTCATGTTTCAACTGCTGAATACCATCCAGCACGTTCGAATTCCCTCCTCCTGAATAGTTTCCGTAATTTAACTTGCCGTGAAAGTAAACACGGGACCGATATTTAGGTTTTCCCACCGAAGTAGTCCGAAGATAATATCAGTTGCCGCTTTCGTCGCTGCCGCCTCGTTGGCGTCCACTTTCATTCTGCCGGAGATGCGCACGACGCAGTATTCTTTGTTTAGCACCGACCGAGGAGTGATGAAGTCGGTCCAAAGTGACAGATTGGCTGCCCAGATCGGTCTGTCTTCCTCAGGCTTTCTGTCGACTGTACAGTTCCCTATCGCATACCCTGAGCTCGTCTTCAATCGGAATCGGAGATAGTGCGAGCTAACTACCTTGTCCCGGAAATGTATTCGCCTTCTAAGCACGTACGTGTCGTCGTTGATCATCTGAAATATAGCCATGGACTGTGTGGCTACATCGGCTGGCTTGCGGTAACTCTGCATGGATAACTCGTTGTTCCATGTGTTTTGCATGGCCTGTAGTGCTGTCACGTGGTAGAAAGGCTTCTCGAAGGAGAATAGTATTTCTTCGGCTTCTCGATGGTATCGCACTTTCCACCCCAAGAACGAGGGCTGAGATTTCGTGGTCGAGTCCAATTCTCTTAGCGCTGCATGTTGCGCTATCGACTGTATTGTGGCGAGAATCCGGTCGTGGGTAGTGCGGATGAACTCCCAGACTTCCACCTCCCTGAGCGGTGCCCAGGCGTTGTGTGCACACTGATCTTCAAAAACGCAACGTCGCATGTTAATCTCTTCTTGCATTAATGGTTGGTGCGAATCTTCATACAATCTCTCCAGGGTTTCCTGCAATTTATTCTTCTCGTGAAGAGCTCGTCGAAAATGAAAGTTCTCGTCTTTCAACCTCGCCCCTTCGTTGACCAGGTGTATGTACTCAGATGCTGCTACGGTTGCTGAGGACTGTGATGACGACGCAACACTTGTATCGCAACTCGGAGGCTGTAGAATCCCCCGTCTTACTGCCTCTTGATATCGAGCTTCTAGACGGTGCATTGTCTCACGTAGACTCTGCATCGTCTCCTGCGTGACAAGCAAGACACAAGAACAAACATAAGATAATCAAGGTGATCAAAGGTCCATTACATATACACCCTAGCTCACATACCCTCTCTCTTATACGCGCTACCCGCATTTGATTGCGGTTCTTCCGTTTCCTTCGAGACCGAGGTGATAATTGCGCGACCCCCTCACTGCCGTCTGAGCCCAAGGGCGACGACGATAGGCTCGCAACTTGGCAATTTGGAGCTCTTTGCTCGTCCATATCAACTCCCAGCAACGCTCTCCTCTCGTCTTGAATCTGCTAGAATTGGAAACGGCACCGAGCCAAGCGTGATTGGTAGTTAACATGCACCAGGAACCATTTCAAGCATCGTATGTTTAAATTTTCAATCACTTTTTATAAACTTTTTCTTCAAAAAATTTACTTCAGTTTTAAATAATCCGTTAGGATAATTTGACATCATTAACCACGCATTAGAAAGGACTTCTGTTCTTCGAAGTGAATTTTAAATGATTTAATTTTAACAACGGGCTCACTATCAAGTTTGTCCCTTTAAAAAAAGGTCTGATCCCACGTGGGCATTTAGTTGCGTTTAGCGACTATTTGCAGGTAATCCGTTTCATCAATTCAATGATCTAGCTATCTATATATTGTATTTTTATTGTATATTTTGTCGAGCCCTGATAGCCCCCCCCCATCGTGAACTAGGTAGGCTGTGCAAGGAGCTGGCACAAACTCGTGGTCCAGCAAAGATTATCTCCAATGGTTTATCTTACTTTTAGGACCTTCATAGATTCAGATCCAAGCGGGAGCTGCACTTAGTGAAATTCCGTATTCCGAATACGCTTTTATTGCTAAATACTAAATCTTTCATCTGTAATAGCATTTATTTTATGTTCATTCTATAAAACTTGTACTTCTGTAGTTTTATAATACAAAATTTAAACATAATTGTGTATCGCCTTTAATTTATTAAGTGCAGCTTAACGGATTTGAGTGTCGAATTTCTGTAGAATCAGCCCGATTGGGAAAGACGTACTACAATATAACTACTACTACTACAGATACTACTACTACTACTATCAATACTACTACTACTACTACCACCACCACCACTACTACTACTACAGTTTAAAAACAATAATAGTAAACTGCGTAGCATTTCGTGAACGCATCATTGATGACGAACCAGATGGTGTGTGAAGGCATAATTGATGATGAACCAGAGTGTGAATGCATAATTGATGATGATCCAGATTGACACAAACTTGTTAGCTTCCTTTTGAGCACACTGTTTGGAGTACCCAACGCGAGGATCAGCTAAAACACAATTCAGTACCAATTATAAGCTGAGAATTTTCCTTAAATCTGAGAGTTTCTCAGAATCTGTACTAGACAAAAATATGGAAGATACTTATCTTCTCTCACAATATACATGTAGGTCTATTAACTTCCCGATTATAACAACTTGCGCCACCAGTTCGTATTACATGTATCAAAACCTGTTATTAATAGTGTGTTGCCCACGTCGCATCTTTTTCTGGTTCTGTTCAGTACAGCAATACCCCAGTGCGTGCGGTATAATCTCCTGTAGTTATCGGCGTGTAGAGTACATCTAATTTGATAGGACAAAAGTGTCTCAGACAAACTCAATGGAGATCTCCATTGTAGACAAAGTATCAGAGGTATTTTAAATAAGTAGGGCAGGAGGATATCGGGCATCCTGATCCCGCTCGGATGGCTTTTCGAGATCTGAGTTTATCGTATTCGCTTCGCCAAATTGGCAGCCAATGGCGAATCGCCATCAACACGGACGCGAACTTGCACGCTCATTAAAAGATTAATCTTCTCGGGAACAAGTTCGACTTCTCCACTCCTACTGCAACAATGGTGTACTCCTTCTTGTTCAAGACCACGGCCTTGGTGTCAGCCTTGTTGGCGTCTCTTGGCGTATCCAACGCTGAGTTGGAGACGGTGAAACTCACGCACCCGACTGGGTCCAGCGCTGAGGTTTTCCTATTTGGGGCCCATGTCAAGTCATTCCGTAGTACGCTCGGCCCGGACCTCGACATTCTGTTCATGTCCAACCAATCGCACCTGGACGGCGTCAACCCGATTCGTGGTGGTATTCCCGTTGTGTTCCCCAACTTCGGCAGTGCCACGGGTTTCCCCAGCCGCGGCTTCGCCCGTATCACTAATTGGACCCTATCTGGTGTCGAGATTGCCGCTGACCAGACGAAGCCCAGTGTGGCCAGGTTCGCTATGAAGGCGAACGACGCAACCCGCAAGATGTGGCCCGTCGACTTTGAGCTCGAGTACGAGGTTAAACTCTACTCCGCTCAGCTTGAGACTGCTCTGCACGTGCACAACACGTTTACGCAGCCGATTGACTTCCATGCGCTACTGCACAACTACATTTATTTCCACGATGTGCGCGACAATAGTGTGTATATTGCAGAGCTGAAGGGCCTCGAATACTTTGACAAGGTCTCCAAGACGAACAAAACCGAAACTCGCGACGCCTTTGGCTTTACGGCGCAGACCGACAGCGTCTACAAGGACGTTCCAAAGAAGGTGCGTGCTGAGATGAGAGGCGCCAACTTCGACTACACCATCGAGGTCGAGAAGGAGGGCTCGATCAACGCCACCCCGACCAAGACCGATGTCGTTATCTGGAACCCGTGGGCTGATCGTGCCAAGACCATGGACGACTTCAGCGACGAGGAGTACATCAATATGGTGGCTATCGAGCCTGGTCGCGTGAGCGAGAAGCAGGTGCTCCCTGCTGGCCAGACGTACACTCTTCACCAGACCATTTCGGGTCAGCGCTTCTCTTAAAACCGCAATTGCTGTGCGTCAACTGCTCACGCTTTACATGGTGAGGCAAGTAAAATTCTGAAAACTCAAAATAATTCACTCCAATTAGCCTCCACTTATTATAAACAACAACACTGTCATCACAATATCGATAATACCGCGAAACCCCAGTCGAAAAACAACAGTTTAGGATTCAGGGACAGGCATTGGTTTAACCTGTACCAATTGGTAACCCCATTACAATAATGTGTTGCTGTCCAAATCACTTAAGCCAGAGCCGATTATCCCTAACGTGAAGCTACATAGTGTTAAAGCGCGACTTTGTTAAATCCAGAGTAAAATGGCTACAAAACTGGCAACAGGACATCCTACACAAATTTAACCCCTTTAGCCCCGCCGCCTGTATTCTACAGGATAAAAAGTTTCGTATCCAGGATACGATATCAAGGTAATTTGCAGTATCCAAATGCTAAGTCTTTCTATACAAATTACAAGTGACACATGCAAATATAATTTTTTAGAGTCACGTTGCTAACCTCGGGGGTGATTATTCGTGGCCACAAAATCTCGAGATTTAGGGCGCGCAAATTTCGCGCCATTCGCGAATCGGACGGACACGAGAGAGGAAGATCGCCATGCCAAAACGAAGGCACATCAAGCCACTTACGTGGACCAAGCTCTGGACCAAGCTGAAGAAGTTGGGGTGGCAGTTCGAGCGTCCTAAAGGACTATCTAGTGATAACCGATACTTCACACCTGCTGGCCGGGCAAAAAGACCAAACGTAACGCATCTCGTTGATTTTTTTTAATGGGGCCGACGAGGTGTGGAAGCACTTACCCGTAGAAGGTATGTACATGTACATGTATACGACTTACAAATGCTACATTTACTAACAAGCTCTTAGTGTTGTACGACGAGGTCCCACCTGCCAAGCGACCCGCCTCAGTATCCACGACTACGACTGATCTACCAGACAATGCGGCAACCACACCCGCTTCGCAACCCCGCCCTGCCGACAATACTAACTCAGCGTTTTCTACCAGCGCGCCGACACCGACCGAGACGCCGGCCAAGACCCCGACTAAGTCGCCAGTCAGGTCGCCGACCAGGTCATCCGCCAAGTCGCCGATCAAGCATAAGGTCAAGTCGCAAGCCAAGTCGCCTGCCAAGTCGCCCGCTAAAACGCCTTCAAAGTCTCCAGCAAAAGCACCGCCCAAGACCCGTGTCAGGTCGCCGACCAAGCCACCAACTACTCCAAAGAAACGGGCAGGTAGACCTACAGCTACAACACCAGTAGAGAGTGTGGAACGACGTGTACTTCCTCCTCAGAGTGCACGCCTGGCAGCTCAGGCGGTTGATATCTCGGCTGGCGACGATCGAATGAGCTCTGGAGATGAAGATGAATACGGAATCGACGACGATGGCGACGATATGTCTGACATTGACGATACCAGTGATGGCTCTGAAGATGAAGGAGAAGAAGTAACCAGTGATGAAGAGGATGCTGTGGATCTCTCCGTCGGAACTCCATTCGACAAGATGAGCAAGGAAGAATTGAGTGAGCATGCGAAGACTGGCTGGACAGCCTACTTTGAAGACGAATGTAAGTACTGTGCTGTACGATACAGGCTATCATGCACCTCGCTTTATTCTTTATCCTGTATTCGATACTAACATAGCTTGATGTACTATGCAGGCACTTCGCTACAAATGCCTGCCGCTGAGCTTACGCAATGCACAGCAGCTCCTACCGAGCTAGCTGAAGCACTCGGTAACAATCTAGAAGGATTATTCTTTCTCTTTCTTCCTAAAAAGAGGTGGGTTTCTATCGCAGATGAGTCCAACCGGTATCAACATCAATACCGCACGCAGGCAGCGGACGTCATCATGGCACGTCAAAAACGCATCAAGCAAAGACGTCCTGCGTACAAGATGAAGAGTTTGCAGCAAATTCAAAAGGAACTGAGAGCTTTCAACCCCATTCAGCCTCACGAATTGGTCAGTTTTATCGGATTGCTATGTGCACGAGCGCTGTGCCCTCATCGAGAGAAACTGTCGAAGCATTGGGCCGTAGATGCCCAAGGTGCGGTTCCCAAAGGGACATTTGGACGATATATGTCAAGAAAGCGCTTTGAGGAGGTCATTCGCTATCTACATTTTAGCGACAACGAATCACCTGACGCTCTCGGTTACAGGACCTGGAAGATCAAGCCGATTGCCGACACAATACATCAAACGTTCAAGCTGGGAATGACTGCTGGTCAGCGCATTGCGTTTGACGAAGGAATGATACCAATGAAGAGTAAGTACAACCCGATGCGCCAGTACCTCCGAGGAATGCCCCATCCATGGGGTACGAAGTGCTTCATGTCGTGTGATGCTGATAGTGGTTACTGCTACAGGTATGATTTGTCAGAAGCCTGTACAATACAGGATAGTTATTGACATTCCTGTGCAATATCCTGTACAGGGCAGAAATTTATCAAGGACGGCTGGATAGTGATAGCGCAGACCTGAATCAAGGCCCCAATGCCGTTCTTCGCAATGTGGAAGACGTTCTCGACGGATTACCAAAGAAGAGGCTGATTATCGCCGACCGCTTCTACTCGAGTGTGCTTTTGTCGTCCATCTTACTGAAACGCGGACATTATCACGTTGGGACCATTCAAACCAATCGACTGCAAAACTATCCCGTACAAGCAAGCAAAACGGCCGAAGACTATGAACCGAGGATCCTACCGTATCGCTCGGTCCAAGACAGACCCCAGAATGGTAGCTGTGTCCTGGCTGGACAACCGCCCCGTACACTTCATTGCAACAGGTTGCAGTACTACTCCAACAACAATATCACGCCGAGCAGGAGCAGAGGCTGTCAGTGTCCCTGCACCCGAACTGGTAAAAACGTATCAAGACAGCATGGGAGGAGCAGACGTACATGACCAATTGCGCTTGCAAAGATATTCCATTCAGGTATTTGTCATTGTTTTCTTATCCTGTACTGTAGTTGGTATCGATAATCATACAATTTTTTATTCTGTATTGAACAGGGTGTTATGAAAATGAGGAAATATTACCACACCATTTTTTTGGGCTTGGTTGACATGGCGCTGATCAACGCATACATCATTTTCCGACGCGTCCAAGGCGAACGCAGAAGGGCGTTGCCAACCCACGCGGAGTTTATGCGTTCGATGCAGCAATCACTGCTAGGCGTAGGAGCCGCAGATTTTGAAGGAGACTTGTCCGTTGAGGCAATGACTGAGACGCCAGTGCCTCCGTCACCGACACCGCGGTACACGCTACCAGGACGCCACACTACACAACAAGCTGATGCGTTTCGCACTACACGTACGAAGAATGGACAAGAGTCGAGGAAACGCCGGCAGTATGGGTGCAAGGTGTGCTCCTTGTTGAGCCCTGGAAAAAACCCGTGGGAAACAACGTTCTATTGCGTTGAGTGCTCTGCGGAAAGGTCGAGAGAAGGAGCGGCGGATAGTACTAATGCCCGAGGGAAGATATATCTCTGCCAAAAGGTGCGGCAACACGATTCGACCGGGGCGACGAACTCAGCTACTTGTAGCCAGATATGGCACGACCTTTGGCGTGGTGGGGCAAATATTCCTTCTGGGCTCAAGGCGATACGACTTCGTGCTCCACATCCTCGCGCTGGAGCTGATCCAGCCGATGAAGGGTATCTCGACACAGGTAGTGATAGCAATGGCAGTTCAAAGGCGCCGTCAATTAGTGCGAGGACATCAGTTGTCGTAGCTAGTAGTGTAGTTAGTGAAGCTAGTGATGCAGAGTGTATATAAACAGCCATCATTTAGTGAATGAAGATAATCTTGGTTAGTCAATATATTTACCAAAATTTTGAAATGTGTTGTCTACAAATTCACCACTCGTCAGGCAAGTACAGCTTATCACGCTAAACTGGGCATCACGACTTTTTCATTTACCCTGTACTGTACCGAGTAGATAACACGTGATGATTGTGAGCCTTGCAAAACTCCGCAAATAGTTAACTCAAGTCAATCGCTTATCCTGTGCTGTACAGGGTAATTTTCGACCAAAAACGCGGGGCTAAAGGGGTTAGCTTGTAGGCGAATCAAAATGCAGCTTTCTGTGCCAAGAAAATACTAAAATCGCCTACAGTGTCAGCAGTTTCTTAGCAAGTGGCATTTCAATATGGTTATTCTTGGTTGAAAAAAACTGGGTGAAGCACATTTTTCTTTTTAAGTTTGAATGACCCAATGTGTGAATTTCAATAAATCTCTACAAGTTGTGGCAGCAATTGGGACGATTGCTACGGTTAAGCTCCAATCACAGTAAGTTCGGTAGCAACGACGCTTTCATAATTCCTCTGTAGCTTGTAGCATGGTGAGTATTGTTTCTGGGAATGCGCGCCGTACAACGTCGTCATCAAGAACAATTTTTTTTCCAATGCATTCTCCTAAAAGGCACACTCTAGTATTTACATTCAGCAACTTTGCCATTTTGGCACTCGTCTTTGTTATCTCCACCATCTTTGCTGAGTTTTTTGTGGAGATCCTCGCACCGTGGTCCACGCAGTCCAGTAACGGCAACTCATAAACCCCTTACAGATAGAATCACTAATCTGTCACTGATATAGTGAGCTGTAGAAGCATTTTTAGTTGCGAGCTTCAAGTATTGTGCTTTGCTCCAACTTTGGCATATGAATAGCGCCTCTAACTTAACTTCAAATCTCAAAAGTTGATCCCATAACTCAACGCTAAAAATAAGTTCTGGTTCAGCTAAAACGAGGTTAGCAGCAGCTCTAGCCACTTCAGCATTTTCCCGGTTCAAGCATCAGTGCGTCGTACCAGACACCTGCAGCGTGTTGCTTCGCTTGCCAGTCTTCGTGACACTCCCGGTACGTATCTACAGCCTGGCACTGGTGCAAATCTCTTCTTGCCTCTAATTGTCAACGTTGTTGGCCAGGATAGCAATGGTGCTGTCGATGCCGACACGATTGCAAGTTCAGCTCACTGTCAAAGTTGGG